TTCATGTAAATCGTAATTGCTACTCCAGAATAAAGTTAACTTTTTTTCTGTAATATCGATATATATTAAATTGGCAAATAGAGAAATGAATTGGCGGGGATAAAACTCGTGAAATAAATAGGCGAAATATAGTTTGTAAACGGGTCACAAACACTTATTACAGGTTTGTATAACCAATGGTGTGATAAAATCAGGATCTGATTGTACATATAAAACATTTCACGTTTTTTATTCAACACGCGACAAAAATTATCCAATGTCCAAGCCTGCGAATTCTCCTACTTTAGTTGAAAGTTTAAACCTTTGTCATACAGGTACAGCCTCTGCTCAAACTTTTAATAATCACAGCACCTTTAATATTTTCACCTTTCACTTCTAGCATATTGGATTCGCGACCCAAACTCGGGGAGAAGTTTGATCGATTGGGACATATACTTTATCGAAACTAATCCTGGATGCACAAAAGAGGAAGCGCATCGATCCTTAAGTCTTGAACTTGGTATCCTCCTTAAAAATATACCAAGAAGGAGTAATCTTTTTGCCAAGGTGACCACCTTGAAAAATGCTTTAGAGGTCAACCTTTCTTTTTATTATAGGTGCATATACCATGCTCCGCAGTCGTGTTCTGAGCGATTTGTTCGCACAAGGCAACTCGTGTTGTTGCCTGAAGTGAGAAGTATACTATGGTCTAGACTCTTTAGGTCCCACCATAGTATGCGTCGGTAGCACCATTATCATTTGCCATTTGCCCATACCCTGCAGTCGTGTTTTGAGCGATTCATCGCACAAGGCAACTCGTGTTGTTGCCCGAAATGGGGATGCATGTTATAATCTAGGCATTTTTGCTCCATTATAACATGTGTGGGTAATCAATTAAATGATTTGTGATGATGTTTTCTAATACTATCTTTTACTGTTTATTCTAGAATAGTAACAATGATCCTGTAAATACTTTATTATGGGGAAATTACGGAAAGATATCAATGCTAGCCATCATGGATCGAATAAATAAGGTATATTTGTCTTTAACTTGTTATACTTATGATATTATATCAGCAGTTATAATTTCATTTTAATCTGTCATGTTAGCGAAAAATTCGAAGCATTGCTATACAAGAGGAAACAGAGCGATATAAATCTGAACAGGAATATATAAGTCATAGGTTAGAGGGCCGAACTCGTGAAGATCTCGAAATCACTAGCAATGATTACGCTAGTGAGCCTAATATAACACCCATTCAGGAAGAACCATCACCAGAGACTGATTATTATGAATCGATAAACAAAAATGATACGCAAAACAGTAAGACACACCATTTTTTGTCTTACTTTTAGGTATTATTATTTAAACTGCTCTTGGAATTATTATTTGTTGTAAAGATGGATTTCAAACCCCCCTCATCAAATTGTCAGTAACACATACAACCCGGAAATTTCAATTGACGAAAA